TTATTTTTTATTAAAAAAATTTTTTTTGGCAAAATCGCTGCCTCAGCAACGATTTTACTTTTTCAGTCGAAGTAAATCGCTGCGTCGGCAGCGATTTTACCGTTTTGATTTATATAAAATTTTATATACCGTTTTGAAATTTTTGTTAATATTTTTTACCCTTTGAGTTTCGGACTCAATTTTTTTGGGTATTCTCGAGATTTTGCATACAACTTTTAGCTTCTTCGGGTGTTTACTTTTTTATTGGATCTCCCGAGTGAAAATTCGTAGAACCGTACGGTAGTTGCTATCTTCAAAAAATGGATGTATTTCGCTATCCTATCAGCAAGTACAGATGGGATAGGGGAAAACAGCAATGTAAGAAATTCCCAGATTCATTTGCCTAGTAAAATCATGGTAATGTGGTGACAATAGAAGGTAACATTACAATAATAAACTGGATCTGAATATAGAAGATAATACAGATAAATGACTGGTACAGACACTGATGAAGGATCAGCTAGTAAATGAATGAACTGTGTTACACATGCCTGGGTTTTTGAGACACCAAAGTGGTTGAATCGATTCAGCACCTATTCCCCTAGAAACCATTCTGTACCTCCATTCATTCAGTCGATCAGTAGCCTCTGCATATCTCTTCATTCCTGTTTCATCACGATTTCCTGACCACAATGCTTCTGCCATTGCTGATGCTCTTGGCCAAATCCTTGAGTCCATAACAGTTGAATCAGCTTGTTCGGACCATAATGCTACTTCCCCTCCAATTACCAATGGAGCCTCCTCATCAGTTAGGCCGTAGGTTATATCATAGTTGTAAATGGTTTCCCACGTCTTGAAAGGCCCACACCATGATCCGCCATTGCCTTGGTCAGTACCTGGTGGCTGATCATAGCGGCTGTCATTCCCAACGAAGCTTCCATGGCCACAATCCAAGTAATAGTAATCTGCAGATGACACAATCACACGGTAGCCAGAAGTGACAAGCTGCTTTGTATTGTTTGGTCCATTATTCCAAGTTTGCATAATAACATTCTGTGGAGGAAGCAGAGATGGATTCACTTTCACATTACCACTCAATATAACATCCTCCCAGTAGACCACCGTACGATTGAGTGAGAGGATTTCAGGTAAGGTATTATTGATAAACTTCTCTAGTAGCTGACTGAGAGTTCCATTGCTAGCAACAAACTTTTGGACTGATAGATCAGTATTCCAACAGTCTGAATTGATCTCATCTGCTCCTCCGTGAAAGAGTGAATCCGGAAACATGGCGATAGTGCCCTGGATGACATTCTTGACTACTTCATAGGTCTTGGGAATCGATGGGTTCAGTTGGCCAGTGCCTGGTTCAGCTGCAAGAGCTGGACTACTTCCAGCGGGCCACCAGAACATATTTGCACAAGTGACTATCTCAGGGTAAGCTTCAGCCCAGGATCCTGTATGTGCTGCAATATTTGCAAAATGGGACAAACTTCAGACATTTAATAGTGTTACCAATACACTTACCTTTGTTCCTATGTCCACAAAGATATCCATATGTGATTCTATGTTTAACAAAAGAAATTTTGACGTGCTTTACAACATGATATAACCTTCTTCTGTGGAGGATATAGCAATTTGCCTCTCATTTGGATTTTAACAAAATATCAATTGCAGTAATAAGGACTATCGCACTTTCAGTGGTACCAAAGACAAGACTGTCCCTTCCATTACCCTTTATCAAGCTGGTTTACAAGATAATCTAAAATTCATAGTTCTTTGCACACCATGTAAACAAAATTGTCAAAATCCTACCTACGGAACTACCATAAAAAAAATGGAGCCGAATATCAAGATTGAGATCGTCAACCATCTAAACTCTCATTCACATCTCACTGAAAGTATCAAACATAATCTCTTATTCGTATCGAGAAGAGTACTCAAAAGAACAGCGGTTCATACACACTACCTTCCCAAACCCACACTACCTTCCCAAACCCAGGCTTAAAGGTTTTGGTTTCCTGTATAAAAAGATATATACATTTTCATTTGCCAGAAGAAAAAGTTCCAAAAAATCCACCAAGGTCCCATTAAGTTAATATTAATAAATTAATGATCCCCATATCCTGATAAATTAATAATACTTCCAAAAGTCCAATCTTGTTCCTTTTCGGGATTACCTAGAAATTGTAAACGAAAATTATCCATACATTATTCTATTATACTTTATCGTGATTCCATAACTTACCAGGCATGTCAATTTCAGGTAAAACCCTAACTCCGTGTTCCATTCCATATTCCACGATCTTCTGCACGTCCGCCGGCGAATACATCATCTCGTTGCTGTACGCTCCTTTTCCGGCGAGCTCAGGCTCCGACGGGATCACAAGCGGAAATGAATGTGAATCAGTTATATGCCAGTGAAAAACATTCAACTTGTTCATACTCATAGCTTTAATCAGCCTTAACAAGTGATCGACTCCGTAGAAATTTCTCGAAGTATCCAACATCACACCTCTGTGAGTAAAAATCGGTAGATCGTGTATATACACGCCGGCGGAAACTCTGGTAGGGTTTCCGTACACGAGTTGTGAGAATGTCTCCAGCCCTCGCATGGCTCCCCATACAGTCGCCGCAGATATGTAGGCGGAGGCGGAGCCGTCGGAAGGTGTGGAGAGAGAGTAGGATTCGTTGACTCCGTGAGCGAGTGGTGAAGTGACATCGGAGACGGAGATGACAAGGCTTTGTAACGGAATTGATGAAGTGAGGTTGATAGCGGGAGTTATGATGGGACGGTGGTGTTCGGAGAGGATGAGGTGGCGGTAACGGTCGACGGCGGGAGTGAGGTACCGGTGGTACGGGTGGGAGATGGTGAAGTTTGTGGAGAGGAAGATGGATTTTGGGTTGGGCCAAAGGAATGTTGTGGGCTTGGGCCAGACATTGATTGGGTAATTTGTGGCTGTTGTTTGTGAAATTAAGATAAAGAATAATAGAAGAAAGAAGGAGAATGTTTTCTCTCCTCTCATTTTTTTCTCAAGAGAAATGAAAATTACATGGACTATTTATATTGTTATTTTTCTAAAATATCAAATTTTGGAATATGAAAATTACATTGTTTTGTTTGATTATGTTTGGAGTTTATATTTTGGGTGGGATGGATGAAAGGGGATTGTATAAAGACTTGACTTGGCTACTTTCTTTTCAACTTCAAAAGTCTTTGCTTCTAATTTGTTGGTTTGTGATTTGGATACAAGCAACTTAAACTTAATGTTTTTATTATCCTTTTAAGTGTCGTTTAGTAGTTGGTTAAAGTTATGACTAAATGTATGTACTCATTACTTTATGCAGATATTAGTAATGGAGTGATTAATAAATGATACATTTATCAGTTATTCTATCTCTTGTCCTGCATAAATGATACTTGGATTTTCTTTTTAACGTGTGCATGTATTAGTTATTCGAATTTCTAAATTACAAATCAAACACTGTATTAATTTAATACTTATTTTCTAGTTAACTAGCAAACATAATATTACTTATACAAGATTGCATCTAAACCAGCTACCAAACGACTATAGGCCTTTAGCGAATAAATTTTCAAGTGATCCATACATTATTATAACTTTGAGTCATTTGTTCTTCTTTTGTTTTTTTTTTTTGTTTTTTTCTTTTTGTTTCTTCTCTTCTTTCCTAAATAAACAATTTGAACTTTTCTTGAATTATAAAAGTAAGAAGCATAATTATGTTTTTGTGAAGTTTAGACAAATATTCATTGGTTATTTGTGCTTATTATGTTGGTAAGTTTAGCTTTAAGTAGCATGAATCAGAATTAACTTTTAAATGAGATAAGAAAAAATTTTCACCTAATTTTAAATATATAAAAAACAATTAAATGATACAACTCATTTAACCCAACTTTTATAAGTTTATAAACAACTCATTAGTTGTGATTAGTGAGACAAAGCTTAAAGAGACTGCAGGCGAGAGGAATATAGATTTAAAAATAGTCATTGACCCCTAAATTGGCCAAACGGCTGCTAATCATATATTTCCCTATTTAGTATCCATTGATAAATACAAAAAATTGTCTATTAAATAGCATACTTTGATGTATTTATATATTGTCAGAGTATACAATATATAATTATATTTTTTACGATAGCAACAATTAGAATAGTTTGAATCATATCGTTATATAATATTAATAACGATAATATGATCTTCTAAGACTTTGGGAACTCAAATGGATTGTAGTGCCAACTTCCAAGTGGTTTTTGTTGAGTTATTCATTCATTAGAATATTTTTCGCATAGTATAGGATAATAGAATTTTATTTAATAGAGTTTTTTTTTTATCAAAAGTATTTTCTTTTATTCATATAGATTTAAATTCTGCTACATCATATCTTTTGATGGTTCGTAAATTATAATTGTGTTTATATTCGTTTAACAAAATATTGTGTTAGCAATAACTTGATAAAAGGACGAGTTCGGAGTTAGAAGGGTACAAAATATTAACAAAAATTTCAAAACGGTATATAAAATTTTATATTAATCAAAACGGCAAAATAGCTGGAATAACAGCAATTTACTCCACTGGAAAAAGCAAAATTGCTGCAATGGCAGCAATTTTGCTTTTTTCGGTGGAGTAAATCGTTGTTATTCTAGCGATTTTGCAGTTTTGATTAATATAAAATTTTATATACCATTTTAAAATTTTTGTTAATATTTTATACTCTTTAAACTTCGGACTCTCAAAATAGTTGTCACTCATTAGAAATAATTTAAATTTATTTATTCGTTTTGGATTCTAATTGTCCTTCGCATTAATTTCAGGATTAAAAATGTCACTCCTTGCTCCTATTGGATTACAATTTTCCTTGACATTAATTTTCAAACAAAAAATGACTCATCCATGGAATTTTGAAATGTCATTTGCGGTAATTTATTTAATTGATTCACGTAAATTTAATAATAAATAATTTAACTCATAAAATAAATACGGGTTAATAACCATAAATCATTTATTTATATCTAGTTTTTCGATGCTTAACATTTTGCGACTGAATAAAATAAAAAAAATAACAATATCTTCTTTGTTTAAAGCTGCAATTTTTTGTTCCAAACTGATAATACAATCGAATTCATATTTAGGTTCAACTCAGCTTCTTCATCCTTTAACAATTGTGGATTCTTATAAATTCGTTCCAACAATTTTAAACAAATAAATTTGGATGGGTCAGGTTATATATGTTATTTCATAATTTTATTAAAGGTGAATTTTTAACTAGAAAATTAATATTAAGGGCAGTCGGGACCATAGATGGATGGAGGAAAACATAATACCATTTTCAGTATAGAAAATTTTTTGAAATTATTCCGATAATAATCTTAAGCAATCAAATTCTCTACGTATTATTTAATAAGCAATCAAATTCTCTACGTATTGTTTCATCGAACATGGTAAAATATTGAACATTGTATAGTTTTCACTTTGGCATTTTATGACCTCTAGTACCCCAAATGAATAATAGTTCTACTTAACAAAAGTACATTTAATCTCCACATAAATGTACGTCTGAAACATTGTGAAATAAACTTTTTGAAGAGTTAAGCTTATTTGCGATAACTAACTTCTTTTTTATTATCAAATGATGGAGTTGCTTCTTTTCTTAATCAGAGGTCTTAGATTCAAGTATTTATTATGAATTTTCTTTTATAGAAAGCATTATTCCTCGAATGGAACTTTACTTGACGTGAATTTAAATTAATTAGACTCCAATATAACAATAAAAGTATCAGACACAAAATAAGAATCTTTAAAAAAAAAAAACTTTTTTTGGATTTTCTCTTTACCAATAATATTTGTTAAGTCAGTTTCTACTGCGAGAATTCTGCTTTAACTTTACATAGTCAAGTCAAAAAAAAAATTGATTGGGGTTGCGTGGATGCATGGGGTCGCAACAGTTCACACATTTTTCACCGGTTAAATATAGTCGATCGGAAAAAAATAAATATATATATATATATATATATA